TCTGAACAACGTCCTGGTGTTGGCTGCGAGGTGAACGTCTGTTGAGTACGAGTCAGAGAATTTTGGTCACGGGTTTGGGTATAGGGGTTCTGTGAAAAAGGTTGAGATTGAATTTGCCTGTAGGTCAACGTTTGGGGAGCGGGGCCTTGTGATGCGTGCGGCACTTCTTCGGGGCCCATCGTCGAATGATATCCCTGTGTTGGCCGTGAGATGGACATCGGTTGAGTGTCAGTCGTAGGCACTTGATGAATCATTTCCGCATGTTGGATTTGTGACCATTGAGCTCGCAAGTTTCTTGTTGGTTGAGGAGCGGTGCCATGAATGACATGAGTCACTTGTTGAGGCTCCACTTTAAAAGGCGTAGAGATCTCAGTTTCTGGACCAGTCAAAGACAACTGGAGAATTCCTTCTGATCGGGGTCTTTTTGCACAAACAGCAGGTGTATTTGGCATGGAGCGTGAATGCGTGACGATTTCTGCAAGCGTTCCTGAAGCCTCAGATGACATGGCTGCATTAAGGTTCTGCGACATCGTAGGAGATTTGGCAGTGCTATGTGTCGGCGAAGCTGAGGGTCGACGAGTGCATTCATAAGAAGGCCGAGGCATTTCTCCAGGTTGAATTTGATAAGACTGGCTTGGTGTGGGTAGATCAGCTTGACTAGACCCCACATAATTCTCGTCATCGTCCTCACACAAGAGTTCAAATGACGTTTCGGGTCTACGACGTGGGACATGTGGCACTCCACCTCCCGATACCGATTCACTTTCTCGAGTTTGAGACTGAGACGTGGCAACTCGGGCTTTATCTACGGGATTAGTCGAAACAGCACTTTCTTGTGGTTCATTTGCGTCACCTCTCGGTGTTTCTTCAGACACCTTAATGGGCTTCACTCGCCTAGACCTTCTGCGACGGACCATCCTCAATTTACCAACTGCTTTCATTCACTGCTTCTAATAAGTGAACATAAATAATGGCACTTCGAAGTCATGCGAGCATCATTCGACATCACCACACTGAACTC